ACGTACTCCTTCGTGAAGGCTCGATCAAAGCGATCCCAGGTCCACGGCTTGGGCGTGTGTGGATCCTGGTCAATGCGCTTCCACCAATCATATGCTCCCTTCCGGAACATCTGTGACGCCAACTCCGAGCGATCAGCATCTGGGACTCTCAAATTCTTGAGTACCCGGTCCATTTGCTCAAGCCAATCCAATGCAATCTGGGGCTCCCCCATATTGTCTCCTCGGAACTCTTCCGCTCCATTATCCTTCAATATCTTGAAGGTAACGATGCGCGGCTGCGGCTGTGGTGGTGGCTGGAACATGGGCATAAACTGCGCCATGTGCTGCATATAATGGGCCATCATGGCCGGGAACATATGCTCGTAGGCCACCGGCGTTATCGCCAACGGTGGCATCACTCGAGGTGGTACGACTGGCGGGGGTACAGCTGGTGGCTGTCCCGCTGGCGCAGGTTGATTCTGCTGTTGCCCTCCGTCACCCGGAGGCGTGAAACTCGAACCCTCGTTGTTCACCGTGTGCACGCTCACGTGCTCCGGCTCCGGAACGTACTGACCGTGGGTCGATTCTTAACTCATTCTAAAATAATAAGGAAATTCCCAAGGGAGATCTTAACATATAACAGATAAAGCTATAAATACTTATTACCTTCCCGGGGTAGAGGAGTTACGTGAGATGCAGATGCGGCTGAATTATTCATTGTATTTTATTTTGAAAGGGTCCAAAGACCGATTTTAAAACCAAATGCTCCGATACCAAAATGTAACACCCCAACCCGCATGACCCAAACCCGTGAGACAGCGGACCGGTGTGCCAATGAATTGGTATCCGAATTTGCGAAATTTTCAAAACAATTTTAAACAAACGTTCTATCAATACATATAAAAATCCATCGGAGTAATTTAAAATAATGCGGAAGCCTTTTTAAAGTCAAACAACTTGGGATCTTGCCCGAAAACGTAATAATCATTAAAGTTAATTAAATAAAGCATAATCAACAGATTAAAGAGACAGCCACGCCATCGTACATCTCCTCGTGCGCACGTCTTAACCTCACTGACCAGGCCCTGCAGCCGCTCGAGCGATGGCCAGTTTCTATGTTCAACACAATAAACCAATTGACCTTAATCACCGATTAGAATTAATTAATTAACTTAACTAATTCATTAAAGTCTTGGATTTAACCATCCGGTCAAACCTACGACAACAGAATATCCAGTCAAAGTCAAACCTGTTCAGTCAATTCACAATCCTCAACAATTCAATTCAAACAATCAATTTAATTCAATTAACCAATTTAGCCAAATTATAGCATAAACACATATAACGATCCAAACCATTAAATCTATTCTGAATGTTATTAACTTCATAGTACGGACCTGGATTACGCCGAAATCGAATCGATAGCTCGAACGGAAGACAAATCAACGAAATCAACCGAACGGGTCAAATCGAGTCAAAATACGAAATCGACCAATCAATCCGGTGTGGAGGTTAATCTGCCGGCGATATCAACTCGGGGCAGCGGCCGGATGCGGCGACGGTGACGGACGCCGGTGACAGTAGCGGAGCGGCAGCTCGACGGCGATGAGCAGCGACTGGCGGCGCTGCAATCGACGGCGGCGGGTGGCCGCTGTGCAAAGGGCGACGGCGGCTGGAAGCTCGGCGACGGCGGCTCGAGGCTCGGCGACCAGCTGGAAGCTCGGGCGACGACGGCTCTCGATTCCGGCGAGGGCGAAACAGCGGCGTCCGGCGTTTGGCGACGTCCTCCGTTTGGCGTGGCGGCGCTACACCCGTCGGCGATGATGGCGGCGGCTACTGGCGAAGGAAACATCGGCGGCGCTGCAATCGACGGCCGCGATGAGCGGCGACGCCGGCGGCTGGCTGCTCCAGTTGGACGGCGACGACCGCGGCTCGAAGACTGGGAACCGTGGTCGGCGGCGCTGGACCTGGCGGTGAGCGACGGGACAGCGGCGAGGAAAGGCAGCAGTGGTGCGGCGAGGAGGCGGAGGTCGATCGGCGGCTTGCTCACGGCGGCGACGATGGCTGGGAAGACGAAGAAGAAATCGAAGAAGAAGAAGAAGAAAGAAGAAAGAAGAAGAAGGAGAAGAAGAAGAAAGAGGAAGGAGAAAGAAGAAGGAGAACCGAAGAGGAAGAAGAAGAACCGAAGAAAGAAGATAAGGTTCTCGTGTGGCTGAAATTAGGTTTATTTAATAGTCACATTCCAAAAAGGATTGGGCTTCGGACCCAAAATACCTGATTAAATGGTCATAACTTGAGTTCCATAACTCCGATTCGCGAGCCGTCCGAACCGACGCGATCACAAAAATATTTCCTACGAGATGACATAAAAGTTGGGCTTAAAATCCAAATTATAATTTTAACCCCTTTTTGGGCCCAATTCGTAATCAATTGCTCTAACAATTTAATTAATTCTTTTGGGCCAGGTTTCGGGGCGTTACAGCTTCAATGCAATTGGACATCTTTTTAAATCATTTTATATTTTTATTTCTACACAGTGTTGCATTCTAGTTTAGATTGTAGTGCATCACGTAGATGCAAATACTACAATTGCCTTGGTTTTTTGTATTGGTACATTTTTTTAATTATTTTCAAGGACTCGAAGATAATGTATGCATGTATCACAATACTGTGGTGCAAGAAACACATCATCACACCTTGTACTTGTCTGGGTTTTTATCTTGACGGAAATAGCCAAGATTATTCATTACCCTACTTTTTAAATCCTTGCAATATGTATTTTAGTGCATTATAAATAATTTTTAGTGCATTGTATAGAATTTGCAGTACATTATGATCTGTGAATGCTTCATGCGTTTGATATGGGCTTATTCACCTTCGTGATGACTGCAATTGGGATGTTCTCATTGATTTATTGCCTCAATTCAATTGCTTATTTATATGGATTTTTTTTATTTGTAGCACTTGCACATATGTGTAATGCATTGTATTCACCTTCGTGATGGCTGCAATTGGGATGTTCTCACTGATTTATTGCCTCAATTCAATTGCTTACATTTATGGATTTTTTTATTTGTAGCACTTGCATATATGTGTAATGCATTGATTTTTCTTTTCACTATCAGGTGTGCTTATTCTGATTTACCTAAGATTGTTTATGGTTTTTCTAACTACACTTTTTGTCCCTTTTTCATACAAATATGCATAAACATATGCATGTTGAATACAACTCAAGTTTGATGTGCTTATTCTTCAATTCTATTTTTTATGTATTCTCGGGTAATATGTCTAAGTAATGGAATTGTAATATATTCTGTGTTAGTTTATAATGCATACTGTGTTTGTTGATAATGCATTGTGTTTTTTTATATACTGCATGTATCAACAACTATTATGCATTATGTTTTAGCATTGAATGTGGGTATCAATCCGCTGTGTGAATTGGATTTCTCATTTGATTCTCTACAGTGAAAACCCCAATATAATGCATTATATAAAATTTTTAGTGCATTATCACGTCTTTGAAATGCATATTTAAAAAATTAAATTTAAATTGTTGCCTATTAGCTCAAATGGTAGAGCGGTATGTATTACGGATGTGGGTTCGAATCCCACATAGGCAAACTCTTTCTCAAATTTGTATTTCACTTCTTATGAATACATTAAAAGTCACTAATAAATCATTATTCACTAATCATAAATTAATAAAATAAATTTTAAATACAATCTAAAGGACAAATCCCAATGCATATATCGGTCATCGTAGTGCACTCACATTAGATCGGTATTTAAAACTATCACAATGCATCTACCCAAAATAAATCCGAAAAAGTGTGATAATAAAGAATCCTTTCCTAAAATTAGATTCATTTTCCATAATACAATTTACTATTCTTAAAATTCGTGCCGATCGAATCAAACTTGGAGTATATATTATTTGGTTAAACTATCTAGTAGATAAAAGAGTGTTTATAAGTTTGACTTTTTTAATTTTGAAGTAGGAGAAAATAATATCAAAATTTTATATTCAATATTGGTGTCGTTGGATAGATCTCAAAGAGAGATTTCTAACGGTATGTTATTTGTTAATGACAAATTTATATATAAAAGGTTATGTACAAAATGAATAGCGTAGTAGAATAATTAAATGAAATGAAATTAATCTAATGATAATAATAACCATTTCCTTATTTTGTGCCTAAATCACACGTTTGCCTTTTTAAATGCAACATTTGTTTACCACTTTACCCCTAAGTTCAATTCGTACCCATTATTATGGAAAAGATATTATTACTTGCAATAAATGCATACATATTAGTTTTAAAATTAGATCCGTTCGATGCACTCCATCTAAGGGCTCTCGTGTATTCTTATTTCTTTCACCAAGGTTTATTCTCACAAGAACCAACCCATATATATATATATATATATATATATATATATATATATATATATATATATATATATATATATATAGACACACACACACACACACACACATATATGGATGGACTCTAGTGAGATGACACCTTACGGTGAGATGACATGCTACGGTCAGATGACGCAAAGCTCACCACTCGCAACTGCAAAGCTCACCATATTTTTTCAACACATAGAATTTTTTTTTGAAAATGTAAAATCAAAGGAAGGGGTGCTGACTAAATTTTGACCGTTGACCGCAACCTTTGACCGCCGCCGGTCCCCGGCAGCCGCCGCCCCGCCGCCGTGAGTTTTGGTGTTCAAAGTGGTGAGCTTTGCTTTATTTCGAGGTGAGCTTTGCATTTTCCATTGGTGAGCTTTGCAGTGGCTAGTGGTCAGCTTTGCATCATCTCACTGAAGCATGTGATCTCACCGTAAGGTGTCATCTCACTGGAGTCAATCCCCCCCCCACACACACACATATATCTATATATATATATATTTACATATATATATATATACACACACACACACTTAAATAAATACCAAGTATCTTATCACTCTTCAAACCCAAGAGCTAAAATCTTGAAAATGTATATTGAAAAAAAAAAGAGAAAAAAATCTCGAAATTAAATTTTCCATGAAACCCGGAATCTAACCTAACTAGGGATTTCGATCGCTACATATTTCCTAGAACTAGGAGGAACAAGAGAAACGGAGTGAAATAAGAGAGTTTATTCAAGTTTGTGAGAAAGAGTTTCGATACCTTGGAGCCAAGATTCGCTGGTTGGAGTCATTAGGCCATTTTTCTTAAGTAAAGGTTATTACTTTAATAGTAATGAGTACCTCCTTTTGGATGTAGAATAATAATAGATCTTTGTATCCTACACAGAGATGCTATTATTTAATGGGCCCATTTGGTATATGGCTTTATAGCCATCGGTGGATAAATCTCGGCCGTAGATTACTTTTATAGAGCCTCCCTAAGTGGACGCATAATAATAGGTCCGGGTGCCGGTCGCTATTATTGGGAACGGGTAGGAAGGATCTTATGTGATTGCTTCCTAGCCCAACCGTAGGAGGAGTTACTTTTGAGTACCTCCCAAGTGTTAGGGCTTAGCGCCACCACTAAGACTAACACTCCCTAACACCGAGGCTTCTGAGGAGATAGGGTTAGGCTCTAGCCATAAAATACCTTAAGATTTTACTAAATAAATGATTAACCCTGTGTGTTTATTTTATAAATTTTTTTATATCATGGTAAAAAATTAAGAACAAAGAATTGTGTTCTGATAAACACCTCGGCGGGTGCTTTGAGATAACCTGATCAGTTAGATTGAGCACAAAAGTGGGGCTCCCAAAGGGTAGAAACGAATATGTTTCAAATAAAAGGAACGATTGACAATGTGATTGATTTGTTATGAACAAATTATTGGGATATCGTATTTCTCTCCTCACCCGTACACGATGTGGCGTTGTACTGACCCTTCCTCACAACTATTTTAGGTGCGTAGCTGTTCTCGTGTCGCAATTCCTCGTGAACCAGTTGCAAGCAATACCTTAGTGTGGTTTGTGGACATGCCTCTTTGAAGTGATTATTATGCTCATGATGTTTTCTTAAACTACTCCAATCATGTTGTTTTTCCTAAGTTTGCCCTTCGTGGCTGGCATGTTGTATTTCTGCTTCAACTCTGATCTTATTAATAAAATGATTGTGTTATGCTTGATGTGATACATGTATACCGTTAGCCTTGTATGATTCATAGATTCCCTTCAATGAAGAGATCCATGAATCCTACAGGAGTTGTCCACATCGCCGGGCAGTTCGGGGCGTGACAACATCAGTATCAAACTCTCGCACTCTTTCATAGGTCTGTGATTCGTCTAAAATAGGGGGTGGAGAGTCGCACTCAACTACGCCTTTGCAAAATGATTTCTTGTCTCTACGATATGGATGATTATGTGGTATAAAACTCATGTTACAATCAAAATAACATGGTTTTCTACTATGTTGCAGGTAAAAAGATTTTGACCATTCCATAAAACTAGGGCAGCCTTTTAAACCTGTAGTACTCCACCCAGATAGCATACCATATGCAGGGAAATAACTAATTTTCCATATCAATTCTACCTTCATGTTAAATACTTGGTCTTTAGACACATCGTACGTGGGGGCTCCATCATACCAAGAACGCCTCAAGTCCTCGATCACTGGTTGCATATAAAAGTCTAGATGTTTTTTGGAATTGTGTGGTCCTGAGCAAATCAAAGTTAGGAACAAAAACTCACTACGCATAGACATATCAGGCGGTAGATTATACGGTGTAATCATAACAGGCTAACAAGAGTATTGTTCTCCAAACTATCCATGTGGGGAAAATCTGTCTGTGCAGAGGCCAATTTGCACATTGCGTGGTTCACATGCAAAATACGGATGACATTGGTCAAAGTGTTTCCATGCCTCTGAATCTGATGGATGACATATTAACCCAGTTTTAGTTTCATGTTTAACATGCCAGGTCATGTGTTTTGCAGTGACAGGCGAGGCATACAACCACTGTAACATCTGAATAAATGGTAGATATATTAGCTTGGATTTAGCACGCTTCTTGCTAGACTTCCCTTGTCTTTCAGTTGTAGGCTTATATCTAGGTTCCCTGCAAAATGTATGTGTCAAGTTGTTCACCATTTTTCCAAAACAACATACAACCACCTCGACATGCATCAATTTTAACGAATGAAAGTCCAAGCTCAGAAATCATCTTCTTTAAATTGTAAAAATCAGTAGGTAAATTGTGGTCTTTTGGTAACCACCCCCAAACATTTTGTAACTAACTAAACATACAGGCCTCCGGGAGATTCTAATAAGACTTTATGCTCAAAATTTCTGACATGGCAGCTAATGTCAATGTGCCATCGCACTCCGGGTATAAGGGTTCATCAGCTGCAATCAACACTTCTAAAAAATGATCAGATAATGTATTAATATCATCAGTGTGTTGATGAGACAATGAGCTCAGAACATCATTAAAATGAGAGGATTTAGGAAAGTCAGTAGGTGCCATAACATCATACACAACCCGTTGGTCCCATGCCATGTTCTCATAATTACCCCGTAAAATAACCGACTCTGGAACTACCTGAGAACTTTCAACTGTCTGAGGAAAATTTGACAGACTCAATACTTTGTCATGACAATATCAAGTATAATAATTTTCAATAAAACCTTCGGTATATAGGTGCCAATGCAAATCATCCTCAGTAACGAAGTGCATATTTTTACATTTCCCACAGGAACATCGAATTTTCTCTCTATCAAGAAATTTAGTTTGGGCACTTCCAAATGTAATAAATTTTTCAAAGCCATCAATATATTCACGTGTCACACCGCATTTAATCAAAGCATTTTTGTTGTACATCCAACTCCTAGATGATATTGACATAGTACCTGAGTTATAAGTGCTAAAAAATCAAAACTTTTTAAATATAAACTTAGGAACTGACTTCCTAAAATTAAACATGAAAATTCAAAACTTAAAAAATAAAATGTTAAAACAATGCTATCAGGAATTCATATGCTTTTAGTACTAAACTCGCACTGCACTTCTAAGGATTCCCGAAAACAAGCTTAGGCACGGACTAAGGCACAGATGTAGGCACATCCTCGGCCATGCCAACTACGCATATCTAACCACAACGTCAAATCAAGTCAGGTTATCTTCACTAGGCATGGAATATCCCCTTCCTTGTCTGTGCCTACCTACAAAATCGTAAGATTACTTCTTTCAAAACTATCCATCAAAATAAAATCTAATTTACAAAATGTACAACATTGACAACAAACATCAATTAACTGGATTTATTTAACAGATAAGAGTTGTTTTTCACTTAAATTATGTTTAAATATTAAACTCTCGCATAATATAGAAAAACAAGTGAAATGAAATAAAACATTATCTTAACTGATACATATTGAAATGCATATTTAGAGTAAACATACTTACTCAATGGATGTAATGAACTGAGATGCAAGAAATATCTCATACCGGAACAGGTCTTGATATCTTATATACTCCATAAATGAATGGATTGAAATAATTTCTGGATGAGATGGTTCTCTTATATACTCCCTAAATGAATGGATTGGAATAATTTATTCCACTGATAGTACATATGTCATAGGCACGGGCATTGGCATGATATCTCTGTGCCTACAAAAAACTATATATTCTCTTGCATCCTTTTTTCCCTTGTTGCTCCAAGTATTAGATCAGAGTTGTTGTTATTATGGAAAAAAAGTTGATTCTAGTGGAGAAAAAAAGAATGAAACATTATCTGAAAGATATCTTCAACTTGAAAAGAGGATTTGAAGGCTAGAGAAACTGGTTAATATTTTGACAGGCTTCTAATTCAAAAACCAAAAGGCAAGAATGATGAAGACCGATCGCACAATACTACCGGACATGGGGAAGTTTTTAACTGATGTAGATTTTTTATTTCAATAAGTTTTTATAATTTCCTACTATTGTAGCTCGTTGTTTTGTATTTCATTTTTAAGAAAAGTGTATTGTGTACTTTTCTCTAATTTTATTTTTGTTATCTTCGGATTGTAACATATTTAAAATATAAAACTTTGTTTTGCTATGAGTATGAATTAAGTTTTAAGACTCTGTAGAAAACTGTCTTTTATTATTGTAACACATAAAGTAATGTTTAAGAATTGAAATGAAACCGTTCTAGGCACGGAAATTAGGGCTGGGTTGGGAAAACCAAAAACCACAAACCGAACTGAAATCGATCGAAACGAGCTAGAAAAAAACCGAACCGAAAAAATTGAAATCGAATGTAAAAAAACCGAACTGGACCGTTAGTGTTTGGTTCCGTTTTGGTTTTCACTTTGAAAAACTGAACCGAACCGAATAAACAAAACTTTCTTAAATACTTCACTTTATTTATATGAATATATGTGATATGTAGAAAAATCATAGAAATATTAATGCAAATATATTACTAGTCGATTAAAATTATTTACTTAACTATTAACTAAACATTCTAGCCATATTATTATAAGCTTTAAAAAAACCTAAGAATATGAACACCAATAGCTAGTCCTAATATAGAACTATATTAACATTAAAAATTGATACGAGTAATTTACATATTTACATAAAAAATACTTTGATGTTATAATGAAAATGAAAGTATAATACCAAAAAACATAAATTCTTCGTAATTGATTTTACATACGATGTCTTTGGAAGTATTTAGAATCTTCTTAATATTTGTTAGGCGCTCAAACACATTGTTTTTATGTAAAATTGAAACGATCGAAAGGAACAATAACCTTCCGTTTGGTTTTTGTTTAGGTGTAAAAATCAAACAAAAAAACCAAAGCTAACACTACATATTCTTATTGTTTCATCGAGTTAGTGTTTTTACAATTTTTTAATGCTTATAAATTTCTACTTTTATAAACCGAAAAAATCGAAAAAAACCAAAGTAAAAACCATATAAAATCGAACCGAATAACCAATGATTTACATATTTTTTATGCAAAACCGAACTGAACTGACAATTGACCTTCCGTTTTGTCTTTGGTTTTGGGTGAAAACTAAACCACCAAAACCGAACCCCCCTAAAGGAAATAGTCGTGATAAAAAGCCTTGCCTTTTACATATGGATTTTTTTGGAAAAGGCACAGATTTGGAACGACGTATTCCATGCCTATATTTTGGAGTTAGTGGCGTTGAAGGAAACCGGTTACCGCTTCACTATTACGTTATTGGCACGGGAAATTTAGAGCCGAATTCATTCACGAATTAAAATGTGACATGTGGCTTTATTTTTTTCTCGGTGAAGGCACAAACAAGTCGTGCCTACATTTTTGTGCCAAATTCCCATGTTTTTTATAGTGGAACATTCGTTTTTCAATAAGACCAATGATATGAAATTCTATGAGTCTTCTTTCCGTCATGATTAATCATCTCAATTTTGCTTCAGAGAGTTTTAAAAATGTGTTCAGAAGTAATAATCAAAGTATTATATAATCGTACTCATTAAAAATAAAATTTAGAACAAATTTTAATTACGACATAGATATACTCTCTCCACACAAAACAAAAAATAAGACCAAAACATATAATCCCTCAATTTCTTAACACACTTGTTCTTTTATTTTTTCTCTTTTTTCAAAACATTTCCATTTCCTATTATAAAATCAATTTTACTCATACTTTTTCTTACACTACCTATCACTTCATATATTTTTACTAATGATCTATTTATCACATCTTACTTTTACCCATCACATCAAGAATTAAATTGGAAAGTCAGTAATAAGTTTACATCTTTTATTTTAGCTAAAAAACAAAATAGAAATGATTTATTGAAAGAGGAAATTAACTATATTTTTCTCATTTGGTGGCCGACTAATATTGAAAGAGGAAATTAAGTATATTGAAAGACGATGTACATAGAAGGTTCATATATAGCCCACAGTCCCACACTCTAATATAATAAAGCAAATATGTTAATAAAACATATGATTAGGCCAATGATTAAGCTCGACTATGTGTAATGTTGACATGCAATATTTGTTGACTGGTTTTTTTGAGCCAATCAACTAATTAAAATACGTCGAACACACATTTAAATTTAGGGTATACGCAACTCAATGATGATTTCATCATTTTTCATGTGTGTGTGCAATTGTAGAATCTTT